TTGCGTGGAGGAGCTGCGGATGGTCTTGGTGGAGGTAGGTGTGGTTGGCCTGGTAGTGTATGGGGCAGGGCCTTGGGCGGGCTTAGAGGGTAGGGCCTGAGGTGGGGTAGTGGGCGGGGATGGCTTGCGAGCGGGTCGGGGACGGATGGGTTTATCATCCTCAGAGAGGTATTGGGCTGGAGTTGACGTTTGGTGGGCGTGAGCGTTGCTCAGCCTGGATGGGCGGGGTTGGTGTGTGAGAGGCCGCGTGGCGGCGCGAGTTGCCCGGATGCGATCCTGTCGGGACAGGAATTTGTCTGGAGCTAACTTGGAACGTAGCTGGCGTGTGGTTAGCGGTGTGGCGGCAGGGGGCTGGGTCATGTCGGGGTCCGAATCCGGGTCGGAGGAGGATGAAGGGAGCGGAGCGCGGATTGTGCGGGTAGCTGGCACGAGGGTGGGCGTGTGTATCCCGTTCCGGGTGACGAAGACTGTAACCATGGGGTTTGTCGTTGGCACGGACGTAGCTGGGTGTGGTGGCTGTCCTGGGTCAGGCGGAGGGGGGGCCATGCTCGTGTCTGTGGGATGTGAAAGTTGTTTCTCGAGGCGCCGCGACCCACTTGTGGGTTACCAGGTATATTTGGGAATCCGAGAGCATAAGTGAAAACACCTGCGTTTTGTCCACATACTGTAAGAGAGCCTCGATGTAATAAAATGTACTGATAACAGCAAAAGGTGTTACCTTCATTTACACCATGGCTTTCGTTATCCGGTGGTTGATGGGGGGCGGGTTGGCACGTGATTTTATGCGCAAATTCTAGCGTACGTACCAGACTTGCCATTACCCATGACACATTTCGTGCACAGGGCCGTTCTTGTTCGGTAACCATACTCATGATTTGCACATGGACCATATGAAATACTTACTATTTTGGTCCGGAATTACTGTTGTACTTCTTTTCAGAAGCTGTCATTTGTCCAAATTCTTGCGTTGCGACTAGTGGATTGGTCCGACAGAATGCTGGTTATCTCGTCTTTGATTGATTTATTTGTGCTGGACGTAATTCGTCCGATTGGTGGAGAAATGATCGTCAAAGTGCACCGAGCACAAATGTTTTGCTCTAAATCTTCCGCAGGGCCTCAGGTGTCAATACAATCTCGCGCACTCATACTCCTATCCAGCTTTTGACCTGTTTGGGAGCCCCTGCGTGTCTTGGATGCGTCTGTTGGCTTCCTTTCTCTTGCGCCGGTGTAACGGCGGTGAACATCACGCCTAGACTCCACATCTACTGTAGAGCGAATCCAAGGCCCACCTCTCGGTATCGGGGCCACATAACATAGATCTACAATTCCTGCATTGAAAGTTGGAGTGCCGTAAGTCGGGCCAAACGCAAGATAGGAGTATCTTGCGTTTGGCCCGACTACGGCACTCCATTGCCATGGCACTTCAACGACCAACCCATTCTATCTGAGTATTCATTTATGCAGGGTAAATTTTGAAATTGCATACTGAAACCAAGTCTAAAATTGGCATGACCTTCAATACAAATTTCAAGATACTTTTTGATGAGCATTATACTTTAATCAAGTCAAAACTATACAACATTTATTCCCGTCCAGAGTAGTATTGTAGAGTATGTAGCTTCTTTACTTGCATAGGGAACAACGGGGGGTTTCGAGGCGGGCCATACGGACTTAACAGGTAGTCGAGTATCATGCGCGACTCGAAGTGGTAGGACTCCTGTTCGATGAAGCTAGCTCGCACTTGTAGCGGAAACTAACTCACGCTTAGCGACAAGCAGCTGGTACCGCTTGTTGTTGAATGGAAATTTCAAGATCCTTAAGCGGAAATGGTGTGGCGAAGATGAAAGTATGAGTAAATGCACATACTACATGTCCTTTGGGACTATCACTAAACCACCACTCACTCCTCATATCATACCAACTTGCCTTCATGTCGAATTTGATTGGCATGTTTGGAGCACCATGGCAACCTGAATCGTTTTAGAGAACCGAAATTAATTTTGATGTTCCAGTAGTACTATGTGCTATTTATTATACATGTAGATTATGTAGAAATTGCTAAAACAATTGGCACCCGAGGAGACTGCGCCCAAAGCGTAAGCGGTATACAATAAGGTAACCGTCATAATAATGAATACATACTTTAATCAAGTTCAACGTAACTGTCAAAATGCGTCATATTAAGCCTTCTCAAGATATTCAATGCACTATTCATGACCAAAGTCAGTAATCACAGTTTTAATGCTAGTGTGGGGAATGGTATGAATGAAATCAACAATAATCTAATTTGACTGATAATCTGTACTGCACAACTGTACTCTTCCTGAGTGTACTACAGTAGAACTACTGTAGTAGAACAGTACATACAGTAGTACTGTACATGTACAGTAGATTGTATATACTAATCAAGGGAAGTACTGTACCTACTCCATGCGAATGTACAGAATGGAGTAATTTTCAGTTAACCTTGCATTCAAAGGAAGGACTGGCACATCCGATGAGAGCATCATGCCAGTACTCTGTCTAGAACTAGAAGGAGTACTAGAAAGACAAGATTTGATACAGCATACTAGTAGAGTACGTGATTATAGTACAGTACTACCGTACTGTAAACGTGACATTTGACACTGCATATAGTAAGTTTACAGTACAAGATACTAATGCAGTACCGTACTACTTAGTAGGTACAATAAAGAAGTACATACTCTAGAATGTACTAGTATCGTACCATTTAGTGGATGTAGTGTGGTGCAGTGGTGCAGTAAACAGTACAGTAATCTGAGTACGTACTAGTAGTATAATACTTGACGTACTATTACTAGTAGTACTGAATTGTGTACAGTACAATGAGTATTAACTCAGTAGTACCTCAGTATGTACTACTTCGATGTAGTACTACGTACAGTAGTACAGTAGTACTAGTATTATACCACTCTGGTCCATGAAGAGCCCCATTTCTTTCAGTGTGACGCCATTCGTCTGTTTTTTTAGTTTAATGGATCTGATTGGTGCATTTGAAAGCCAGCGATCTCGTCTTTGATTGGTTAGTCGACGTTTCTCTGAATTCGTTTTGGTGAAGGAGATACAAGCGTGACAGTGTATGACGTCGATTTTTTTAGAGAAAATCACCCGCTGAGCCTTCAATATCACTTCAATCTGATGTACTCGAGGCCCTAAAGACTTGTCTAGCCTACACAGAGCAGTCACACGTGCTTGCGAGCACCAAAGACTTTACTGTTAGCTAGTTGCGCCTTGTGTCGTCGCGCTATTGTCGATTACCACACCATGCCGGTACAATGGCTAGGACGACCCTATGCAAGGTTTGCTCTCTGATATAGCACGCAACAGTCTAGAGCTATAGTTTATCTATTGAAGTTGTCCGTTCATTCGGCGTGTGCACATACATACAGCACTCTCTCCATGGCCGGCGTCTGATTTTGGGGTATACACCTCTACATATCAATATAATTATGTATTTATAGAGTGATTTTCTCAGAACTCTACCAATTTCTATACTTTAAACAAGTCAAAACAAATGGCACTATTTTCATGGATCAGAGTAGTACTAGTAGTTAATATTACGTACGAATACAGTTTGCATAACGTTAGTGTTTTACGGAGCACAATATTATTGCGATCTGTACGGAATGAAGTTTTGGTTTTGCGTTCAACAACTGTACGTAGTAAAGCAAATGCACGGTGATAGCGTAAATAATCATTGATTTGCCGAACGTCTTGCCCAATAAGATGCTAGCATTGATATCATTGGATAAAGCAATTGGCCGCAGCAGATATCATTCGGGGAATTATGTTATAGTGTTTCAACCTTATTCAGAGGTACGTTGAACGTATGATACTTAATTGCTTTTATAAATAGATATGTGTATCGTTTGCTCGGAGTATTTCCAATACTTTAATCAAATCTATATTTCGACATATCAATGATCACTGTTGGAGTGGCCAACCTTACAATTTTATTTTTAAAAAAATTGCCTTCAATTTGACAATTTTATTTTTAAAAAAATTGCCTTCAATTTGAATCTAACTAAAGAGCTTGCACTAAAGAAAACTATGTAGTAGTATCATTCAACATATGTCATAATAATCTTTAATTAAGGTATTAGCAGTTGAATACTAGTATACAGTCCATAGTAAACGAACAGTTCTGGTATATGTTAATCAAGTGAAATAACATTAAAAGTACGTCATAATAATCCTTCAAGATATGTGCAGTGGAATACTACCAAGTATACGTACAGTACATTGAATAAGTTATTCAAGTGAAGTAACGTCCGAATTACGTAATATTAATCCTTTAACGTAAAAAACCAATTTAAGATAACTTTTTTGGAGGCGTCGGTGTAGAATGGACATAACGTTTGAGTCCGTTACGATATTTGAATTTTGAATAGTGATTCCAACAGACAAGACGCGGCGTTTTGACTTCATAATCGAATGATCAGTTTAGACGATGAGCATCACAGGTACATTTGTTACTTCCTAAGCATTTGTACTCACATTTTGATAAGCAATTTAGGATAACTTTTTTTTCCTAAATTGGTTAAGTTATCTTAAACTGGTTTTTTACGTTTCAAAAGTAGTGCGCACTAAGGATCACAATGTAATAGGACGATTCACAGGGAGACTGCGCCCAAAGCGTAAGCGGTATACAATGAAGTACAACGTAGTATATTTATTCAATATATACAATGTCTATAAATAATACTACTCTGGTCTGAAATGATAGTGCGCTTTCACTTCTCATTGGCGGGATTTTTCGAATGCTGCAAATTGTGCATATCTGATTGGAAAGCTCAATAGCGCGAATTCTCTGCTTTGATTGGCTGTGTTTTGAGCGTTCCAATTCATTTTAGCTCAAACGTTGTGTCTTGTCAAAGTTGGTGTTCCAAGTGAAATCCACACACACATACCCGCTAAGACTTCACTTTACAATTTGGGCCTGCCCACTAAATGCAACATACCCTCGTTGGACCCTACTAATGCCAACTGCGACACCTCCGAGCTCTCAACCATCCCCCGCTGCCTCACGGGGGCTCCGAAACCTCCAGCACGACGAGCGTGTTGCCATCTACGAATCGGTACTTGAGATCAGTTCTAACGGTCAGCTGCCACGTGGAGCATTTGTTCAGCACGCACGAGCACATAACTGTCACTGGAGAACGATTTCGAATGTGTGTGTCCGAGCACGAGAGTCCCTTCGCCATGGCAGTCTGACGGCCGACGTCACCTCAAAAATTCGCGGTAAACCTCCATAAGATACTATTTCTCAAATATATACAAATTGCTACGAGTATAATGTCTGGCGATTTTGAATTTTAAGGTAATTCCGGTCGAAAAAGAGTCCGCACGCACGACGAAATCAAGAAGGCCGTCCAAGTGGTCGACATGTATGCTCAGCAAACAATGCGGGCGCTTGCGGCTCACAGCGGCATACCGAAAACCACGCTTGTCCAACACATGAAAGAAGAAAACAACTACAAGCAAGGTCCAGCTACGTCCGACCCCACCTGACGGACGCCAACGCCGTCACAAGAATGAGTTTCCTCCAACCAACGTCAAATGGGAAGCAAGTTTTCGTTGACATGAATTCGTACATTCATGTCGACGAAAAGTGGTTCTATTTGACGAAGGTGAAGAGGAAGTTTTATGCCTACGCCGACGAAGTTGCGCCCACCAGCCGGGTCAAGTCCAAGAAGTTCATCACAAAAGTGATGTTCTTGGCTGCTGTTGCCCGTCCCCGCTACGACTTCCACAAGACAGCAATCTTCGACGGCAACATTGGGATTTGGTCCTTTGTGGTGCGGCAGCCGGCCCAGAGGAACAGCAAGAATAGGGCCAAGGGAACGATGCTCACAGTGCCTCAAAGTGTGACGCGATGATTTTGGAGAACGTCGTGCCGGCAATCAAGGCGAAAATGCAAATGCACGATCAGGCCGGGACAATCGTTTTGCGACAGGACAACGCGAGCCCCCACA